ACACACACACACACACACCCTCCCCCTCCAAGGCAGCCACATCCCTTCACTAATTTGCCTTCCAGCTGCATTCTCCACTCCACGTGCAGGACAAGAAAAGGAGACTGTGTGCCTATGGTAAAAAAAATACCAGAAAATACCTTCCAAGTTCTCGCAAAAAAAAAAAAAAGATCTCGTGAAGTTGGAAGTTCCACAAACTACTTTTCTTGCCTTGCACATGGCAGTGGAGAATGGAGCAGGAAAGCAGGTTAGTGGAGGGATGTGGCTGCCTTGGGAGGGGGTGGGCATTAGGGATCTCTTTCTCACACACACATACACACCATCCTTTCCTTTGGGAGCTCTGCACAGACACAGAGAAGGCTTCGGATAGAGCATTTGGGGGATTTGCGTCTGCGCTGAGATCCCAAGGAAAGAACGATTGCCAGGAAAAGAGGGGGGATTTTGCCTATTATCCTGTTCTGAGTCTGCTGAGCCTCAGAACAGGGTAAGAGGAAGGAAAATCTCACCTCCCCTTTTTCAAGCCGTTTGCAAAAATGCCCCATTCCGAGCCTTCAATCCTGCAATCCTGGAATATGCTGAAGTCTCGAAATGGAACGGTTTTTGCAAGCCGTTTGAAAATATGGAGGGGGATATTCCTGCCTCTCCCCCTGTTCTGACGGTCACAGACTGAAAACAGGATAAGAGACAAAATCCTCCCTCCCGCATGCCTTCAATCCTGCAATTTTGGATAATGTGAAGGTTTGGAATGTGGCGTTTTTCAAACCTCTTGAAAAGAGGGAGGGGGGATTTCATCTCTTACCCTGTTCTCAGTCTGTGCTGACCTTCAGAACAGGGGGAGAGGCAGGAATATCTCCCTCCCCATTTTCAAGCCATTTGCAAAAACGTCCCATTTCGAGCCTTCAATGTGAATATGCAGGTGGGAAGCGACCTCCTGTAGGCATTAAAATCCATACACTTGGGACATCGGAAGAAGCTCTGCGAGGAGACGTTGCTGCTGAAGTGCAGATCGTGTTTTCAAAGAGGAATTTCACCAGGACGAAAAGGTGGCTGAAGGCAGCGTTTGTGTCGCCTTCATCCTGGTGAAACTCCTCTTTGAAAGGATGATCTGCAGGTGGGGGGGGGGAGAGATTTCCTGCACTTCGGTAGCAGCGTCTCCTCGCAGGGCTTCTTCCAATGTCCCAGGTGTATTGATTTCCATGCCTTTTTTTCCTGTTCTGTGGATGGAATTGCGGGCTGTGACTGTCACTGTTAGGCAAGGAGGGCATGAGGCATTTGGGTTGTGTTGCTTGGCCTCCGGCTTCTTTTGCAGCCTCAATTGGCTGCAAAAGTGACCAGAGTTTGCTGGAGGCAGAGACCTGAGCGGCACCCGCAAATCAGCTGTTTTGTGAACGGAGAGGCCCAGCTGATCCGATTAAGGGGCCAAGAAGCCCTGAGGTGACCGGGGAAGGGAAGGGCTGCCCCCTGTTCCCTCTAAATTCACCCCTTCACTAGGGCTTATTTACGGGGGGTTATATTTGTGCCCACTGCGAAAATCTGGCATGGCCTTAGTTTCAGGACATGTCATATTTTTGGGGAAACATAGTACCTACCTAACTACTCTCTCTCTCTCTACCTACCTACTGTATTTCTCTCTCTTTCTCTCCCTCTCTATCGCTCTATCTACCTAAATACTTTTTTTAAAAATTGCATCTTCAAAACCTGGATGCATCTTATACCACGGTGCGTCTTATACTTAAATATAGTAAATCGCCAACAAAACAAGTTCGCTCTTCGTTTAAAAAACATTGTATCGTTAACCCTTTTCTCCTGGATAAATGTCTTAGAGCTCTCACATCTACGACATCTGAACTCTTAAATGTCTTTTTTTCTCTATCTGTTTTGGCAGAAGGGGGGCAGAGTGACTTTTTTTTAAATATTGATTTTAAAAATATAAATTACTAATGCTGCCATTAATTGAATCTCTTCTAGTGCAGATGAGCTTTTACTGACAGAAATGATGTTCAATGGGCTTTTCAATGATTTATCTGCAGAACAAGCAACTGCTTTATTAAGCTGCTTTGTATTTCAAGAAAATGTAAGTTATTTTTTCCACAGAAGTATCCGTGCTAATGTGTTACAACAGAACAAATTAAAAATGAAGGGGTTTGTGAGACATCTAAGACCAACTATGTTTATTATATCATAATAAACAGAGGAATTTTGGGATATGAAAATATGCTTACAGTATTGATAGAGAAAACGAGGAGGAAATGAGCTCGAGTTTCCAGAAAGTAGCATTAGGGCGGTATGAGGGCTTCCTTCTCTGCCCTTATTGTTCCTGTAGCTGGTTAAACTTGTCCCCTTTGGAGAGTGATAGATAGGAAGAATTGCTTCAAGACTGCACAGATGTGTTTACAGAATTCATTGAGAATTCACTTGGAGCTGAACACATACGATGCCAGTAGCTTCTAAGAATGTTATGTGGGATTCTTTTGAACCTGTGGAGTTTAAAGAAATGGATTTTAGAGCATAAACTCAGCCATGTGTCATTGTTGAAGCAGCCAGAGAAAGAAATAACATACTGAATGATTAATGCTGCTTTAAGAGGCAATAGTACCAGCCATTTTGAAGGAGGCAGCTGTGCACCTGATGAAAGAAATCTCCCTTGATTCAGATGTTCTAGGCAACTTCCAATTGATTTCCATCCTTCTTTTTAGAGTAGGTTATTAAAAAGATAGGAGACAGGTTCAGCTACTAGAGACATTGAAAGAAAA